GATCGGAGATTGATTTTGTATTGGTTTATATCGGAGAATATTACGCACATCGAAGACCAAGATCTCCATCCGTCTACGGCAACTTTTTGTGTTTTTGGCTAATTTTTGATTGTTTTTGTACCTTTTTGAGTACAGATCTATGATTGTCCCCAAATGTTTATGTTCACTTCCTGGTGACTGAGTCTCCACCTCTCCTGGAAGTCCGACCCAACCATTACCTAGTCCATTGGTAAAATGATACTTTCTGAGGTCAGTTTTGAACGTTCCTCCTGTTGGTTTGAGGTCATCTCCTCGTGTTCTTGGTGTTCCATACTGAAGATCCCGTCCTCCTAAACCTTCTTCACAACCTTCATGTATCTATAGGTTCCAGTCATGTCCATCCTTTCCCTTCTTTTCTCCAGACTGGACATATTGAGTTCCTGCAGTCTTTCCTGATATGTGAGGAACTCAACTCAGACTCGGGAACTCAACGTAGGGATGGTGGGAACCCCTCATAATGGGCACAGCGGGTGTACAGACCCGGGAACGCAGCACAGGGAAGGTGGGAGCTCATCATAATGAGCACAGCGGGTGTACAGACCCGGGAACTCAGCACAGGGAAGGTGGGAGCTCCTCATAATGGGCACAGCGGGGGTACAGACCCGGGAACGCAGCACAGGGAAGGTGGGAGCTCCTCATAATGGGCACAGCGGGGGTACAGACCCGGGAACGCAGCACAGGGAAGGTGGGAGCTCCTCATAATGGGCACAGCGGGGGTACAGACCCGGGAACGCAGCACAGGGAAGGTGGGAGCTCCTCATAATGGGCACAGCGGGGGTACAGACCCGGGAACGCAGCACAGGGAAGGTGGGAGCTCCTCATAATGGGCACAGCGGGGGTACAGACCCGGGAACGCAGCACAGGGAAGGTGGGAGCTCCTCATAATGGGCACAGCGGGGGTACAGACCCGGGAACGCAGCACAGGGAAGGTGGGAGCTCCTCATAATGGGCACAGCGGGGGTACAGACCCGGGAACGCAGCACAGGGAAGGTGGGAGCTCCTCATAATGGGCACAGCGGGGGTACAGACCCGGGAACGCAGCACAGGGAAGGTGGGAGCTCCTCATAATGGGCACAGCGGGGGTACAGACCCGGGAACGCAGCACAGGGAAGGTGGGAGCTCCTCATAATGGGCACAGCGGGGGTACAGACCCGGGAACGCAGCACAGGGAAGGTGGGAGCTCCTCATAATGGGCACAGCGGGGGTACAGACCCGGGAACGCAGCACAGGGAAGGTGGGAGCTCCTCATAATGGGCACAGCGGGGGTACAGACCCGGGAACGCAGCACAGGGAAGGTGGGAGCTCCTCATAATGGGCACAGCGGGGGTACAGACCCGGGAACGCAGCACAGGGAAGGTGGGAGCTCCTCATAATGGGCACAGCGGGGGTACAGACCCGGGAACGCAGCACAGGGAAGGTGGGAGCTCCTCATAATGGGCACAGCGGGGGTACAGACCCGGGAACGCAGCACAGGGAAGGTGGGAGCTCCTCATAATGGGCACAGCGGGGGTACAGACCCGGGAACGCAGCACAGGGAAGGTGGGAGCTCCTCATAATGGGCACAGCGGGGGTACAGACCCGGGAACGCAGCACAGGGAAGGTGGGAGCTCCTCATAATGGGCACAGCGGGGGTACAGACCCGGGAACTCAGCACAGGGATGGTGGGAGCTCCTCATAATGGGCACTTGGACAGTTGGAGCTGTGTGGTGACAGACTGAGGAGAGGACATCTTCTGCTTTGTGGTGATGGAGATCTCAACGTAATGGCTATTTGGTGTCCCCGGGGGGCTCTGAGGTCAGGGTAACAGTTGGTGGAGCTCTGGTCCTAGCTCTAGTATGAACTTTAGTCTAAGGAGGCAGCTCTCCATCTTCAAAGGTATCCCATTGGTCCAAAAAAAGTGTAGGCATCACAATAAGATATTATCGCCAAAACATGTTTAAAAAAACATCCAACGCGTTTCGGTATGGTCGGTATGGTGCACCTACCTGCATCCTAGCAACCAATGACACTGTGTGCCCCAGCCACTAGCATCCTAGCAACCAATGCTTCTTTGAGACCCAGCCACTATCTCCCAACCAACCAATAACACTGTGAGGCCCAGATGCTATTTTCCTAGCAACTAGCGGGTTGCACAGCCTCATTGGTTGGTAGGACAAAGGCAGTTCCAACATGACGATCTATGATGCTGTGGGGCCGCCACTGTCTTAGCAAGCCAATGGCACTGGTGGCCACACAGCTTCATTGGTCGCTGTGGTGCACCCACCTGCATCCTAGCAACCAGTGACAATATGCAGTCCAGCCGCTAGCATCCTAGCAACCAATGATTCTTTGAGACCCAGCCACTAGCGTCCTGGCAACCGATGATTCTTTGAGACCCAGCTACTAGCGTCCTAGCATCCAATGACTCTTTGAGGCCCAGCCACTAGCATCCTAGCAACCAATGATTATTTGAGACCCAGCTACTAGCGTCCTAGCATCCAATGACTCTTTGAGGCCCAGCCACTAGCGTCCTAGCAACCAATGATTATTTGAGACCCAGACACTAGCGTCCTAGCAACCAATGATTCTTTGAGACCCAGCCAATAGCATCCTAGCAACCAATGATTATTTGAGACTCATTTACTAGTGTCCTAGCAACCAATGATTCTTTGAGACCCAGCCACTAGTGACCTAGCAACCAATGATTCTTTGAGACCCAGCCACTAGCGCCCTAGCAACCAATGATTCTTTGAGACCCAGCCACTAGCATCCTAGCAACCAATGACTCTTTGAGGCCCAGAGACCAGCGTCCTAGCAACCAATGACTCTTTGAGACCCAGACACTAGCGTCCAAGCAACCAATCGTAGGGAACTGTTCTTGTATACACCTTCTGTGGTTTTGTTTACATTAATGTTCAGCCACTACCATAGAGTTCTGTTACAAACAGATTCTTCCTTTTTCATAGAATATGCTTCCTGTCCCTGCTAAAAGGTTAGGAAACCCCATAGTAAGATATATATATATTTCTCAGATGTATGAGAGTTAAGGTCACCTGACCAGGTCTCATCAGGTGACTCTTCTGTTGCAGAGCACACTTGCAGTTTTATTATTTAAAGGAACACAGTGCCCCCTTTTTGCTTTGGAATTACTTAGCTTGTGTCAGCTTAGGGAACAGTAGGGATGCACCGATACCGGTATTTTGGTACCGATAGTTTTTTTCCGGTACTCGCCGATACCAAATATCGAGTACCGGAAGTCCCATTTCAGGAGGCCAGGTGGCCGCGTACCGGAAGTCCCATTTCAGGAGGCCAGGTGGCCGCGTACCGGAAGTCCCATTTCAGGAGGCCAGGTGGCCGCGTACCGGAAGTCCCATTTCAGGAGGCCAGGTGGCCGCGTACCGGAAGTCCCATTTCAGGAGGCCAGGTGGCCGCGTACCGGAAGTTGCATTACACGTAGGGCATACATGCAGCATTACACGCAGGGCATACACGCAGCATTACACGCAGCATTACACAAACACATTTGCTCATATTAATCAATACATTTGTGTGTCCAAACTGTATAGATCCTGTGGCACAGTAGGGGTTAATCACTGCTCTAACTTCTGCAGAGTTTACTCACAGTGACAGGAGAAAGCTCGGGTTTCAGAGACACGGGTTGCCGGGGGAACACTGACGCTGACACTCTCCGGGAAAGAAAACTTGCACTGAGCATGTGCAGGCAGCCATGACACTTCCTCTAGTCAGCTCTGCGCTCTGAGGAGGAGCTGCTGATCCGATGATCTATGGCTGGACCAGCAGCCGCTTCTGTCGGTGACAGTGCCAGACACGATAGCTTCATTTCCACTCGCCCCCACGCAATTTTCACTCGCAATTTGCGAGGGGGCGAGTGGAAATTTTGAGCCCTGTACCCGGGTATAGGCCCCATTCTTATAGGACATATCAGCGTTGTATTTGTCATTCCTGAATGTTGGTGCTCGGATTGTATGTAATATTATCTGTTTATTCTATATAAAGTTTGCATTGTTTACATTTTGGTGTGCTGACAACCAATGATACTTTAGGACCCAGCCACTAGTGTCCTAGCAACCAATGATTCTTTGAGCCCCAGCCACTAGCGTCCTAGCAACCAATGATTCTTTAAGACTCAGCCACTAGCGTCCTAGCAACCAATGATTCTTTAAGACTCAGCCACTAGCGTCCTAGCAACCAATGATTCTTTAAGACTCAGCCACTAGCGTCCTAGCAACCAATGATTCTTTAAGACTCAGCCACTAGCGTCCTAGCAACCAATGATTCTTTAAGACTCAGCCACTAGCGTCCTAGCAACCAATGATTCTTTAAGACTCAGCCACTAGCGTCCTAGCAACCAATGATTCTTTAAGACTCAGCCACTAGCGTCCTAGCAACCAATGATTCTTTAAGACTCAGCCACTAGCGTCCTAGCAACCAATGATTCTTTAAGACTCAGCCACTAGCGTCCTAGCAACCAATGATTCTTTAAGACTCAGCCACTAGCGTCCTAGCAACCAATGATTCTTTAAGACTCAGCCACTAGCGTCCTAGCAACAGATGATTCTTTGAGGCCCAGCCTCTAGCGTCCTAGCAACCAATGATTCTTTAAGACTCAGCCACTAGCGTCCTAGCAACAGATGATTCTTTGAGACCCAGCCACTAGCGCCCTAGCAACCAATGATTCTTTGAGACCCAGCCACTAGCGTCCTAGCAACCAATGTTTCTTTGAGGCCCAGCCACTAGAGTCCTAGCAACCAATGATTCTTTGAGACCCAGCCACTAGCATCCTAGCAACCAATGATGCTGTGATGTCCAGATGCTATCACCCTAGCAACTATCGCCTTGCACAGCATCATTGGTTGCTAGGATACAGGTCTGGCTTGCTTGGACGTTTGCCAAACCCAGGCCAGATCGCTCGTCTCTACTGGAGAACTGACCAGGGGTGTCAGGGGTAAGCTTACTTCCCGAGCCTGTAAGTTGTGGGTGGCGGCAGCTCATGTGTATGTAGCGTGTGCCTGGATTGGGAGGATGTTGGGCTAAACTGATTACTTACCAGCTCGCTGGTAAGTTTTCCACATGGACAACAATACCTTGTTCAACCTTTCCCCCTCACTCCTTTCTCACCTTCCTTCTACCTTTTACAGAAACATATGAAAATAAATACAAATGTCCTCCTCACAACGTATAGACCTTCAGGGGTTTCCGAAGATTGGCCTTCTTGGACAAACACTTTCCACTCTGAAACACTTTCCACACTCGGAATAGTTGAGTGGCCTCCCCCCGTACGGATCCTGCGATGGTTCAGGAAAAAAAGCTTTCTAGGTAAAGCCTTTCCCACTCCTTGAAAGACTGCTTATTAGTGGAAGATAAAAGACGGCGTTGTCGGGCCAGATCCGGCAAGTTCCCAGGTATATGGCCGTGTCTTCTTATACACAACCTCCTGGTCTCTATTACAATAAAACACGATAATGTGAAGGAAGGGACGGGGATGACAAACTTTATTTAGATCTGATGATAAAATGAGACGATTTGCAGTCTCCTTCCTGCAGCGTCACTTGTGATGACCCCTCAGGTGATAATAGAGGTTCGAATTCTGTGAGAACAACTTCCCGCACACGGGGCAGGAGAACGGCTTTTCCCCGGTGTGGAGCCGCTGGTGGCTGACGAGGTGAGCTTTGCGCGCGAACGCTTTCCCGCACTCTGAACAGGCGAAGGGCTGCTCCCCGGTGTGGACCACTTTGTGATACAGGAGACCGGACCGGCGGGAGAAGCTCTTCCCGCACTCGGAGCACACGTGCGGCTGCTCGCCGGTGTGCGTCCTCTGGTGGATGATGAGCCAGGCCTTCTGGGCGAAGCGCTGGCCGCACTCCGGGCAGGAGAACGGCTGCTCGCCCGTGTGAGTCCGCAGGTGGTTGGCCAGCCATATCTTCCGCGAGAAGCTCCTCCCGCACTCGGTGCACGGGTACGGCTGCTGGCCGGTGTGCGTCACCCGGTGTTTGATGAGGTTGGACTGGTGCGTGAAATGTTTGCCGCACTCCGAGCACTGGTACGGCTTTTCGCCCGTGTGGACGACCTGGTGCGCGCCCAGGTTGGTGGTATTCGAGAAGCGTTTCCCGCACACGGAACACGGGAAGGGTTTTTCTCCCGTGTGGACCCGAAGATGGCGGGTGAGCTGCTCCTTGTACAGGAACCGCTTCCCGCACTCGGGGCAGGGGAAGGGCCGCTCGTCTGTGTGGATCTTCTGGTGTTTGAGAAGGTCCAGTTCCCGGGTAAAGCCTTTGCCGCATTCCTGACACGAAAAGGGACGGTCAACCGCGTGCACCTTCCTGTGCTTGACGAGGTGCGACCTCAGGGTGAAACGCCTCCCGCAGTCCAGGCACTCGTACGGCTTCTCGCCGCTGTGAATCCTGAGGTGGTTGACGAGCTCAAACTTCCTCTTGAAACGTTTCCCGCACACAGAACAGAGGCACTTCTTACCGCCGTCCTTGTCTGCGGTCGTTGCTTCATCAGGGAGGCCGTCCGAGAAAGACTCCTCGTGATTGGAGGGGAGAGGAGAGGAGGCCGGGTGAACAGGGACTTCCTCTGTTGGTTCACTTTTGGTGGCATCGCAGTCCTCTGACCGCGTCCCAGTACTGAGTCTGCCCGCTGGAAGAGACAGAGATATCCGACAATCATCATTCAATACATCACTATAACTCTCCTCTCCTGAGTACTCTGCTGGAGGACTCTGCTCTGCTGGAGGACTCTGCTCCTTCCTCTATAACTCTCCTCTCCTGAGATACTCTGCTCTGCTGGAGGACTCTGCTCCTTCCTCTATAACTCTCCTCTCCTGATATACTCTGCTCTGCTGGAGGACTCTGCTCCTTCCTCTATAACTCTCCTCTCCTGATATACTCTGCTCTGCTGGAGGACTCTTCTCCTTCCTCTGTAACTCTCCTCTCCTGATATACTCTGCTCTGCTGGAGGACTCTGCTGGAGGACTTCCTCTATAACTCTCCTCTCCTATAATACTCTGCTCTGC